TGCTTCACCATACGCCGGAGATTTTCAGCCAGGGTAATCTCATGAAACTTTCTCAAACGAATTAGTGAAGTAGCTGCTAGCTCAGGGAAAGAGATGTGGTAACTCCACTGAGCAAAGTGCAGAGAAAGCTGTTCAAGGACTGAAAGAAGGCATTCTTCTTGGAAGTTCTGTGATTTTAGGTAATACTTTGGCAACTGCAGCACATGATAGTTTAATTGTATGAGAAGGTTATGATATGCACCAAATTTAAAAGCATCGACGCACTAAATTTAAAAGCATCGAAGAAAGCAATCACATCTGGCAAAATATCAGTGGAAGCTAGTATCCCTGACCTTCAGTACTGATGTAATGTTGAAGGTATTCCGTGATCTTCCACCCTCCTTAACCACCTTGTATTCCAAAATATCCAGCACAAATGAAGCAACTGGAATAAAAAATCCACTAGAACTGGAAAGAAAACTAAGCCACTGAATGCACTTGAGTCTTAGAGGGAAATATCTTGGACCAGCAAACAAGTAAGCTAGACCATTTATAATCTGAATGGTCATAAACATCAATGGCTGAAGGTCATAATCATGTATATTGGCTGATATGAACCTCACCCACAGATCAATACAGTTTACATACTCCCAACTGCATATCTTCTTTACAGCTTCCTGCCTCGCAACATTAACAAATAAATAAATATACTTACAGTTACTTGAAAAAATAAAACAATATGAACGATAACCATCATACACGTATATCCTGAACATGTGATAAAGTTAGTTTGCATTTTAATTATGCTCATGAAATCAAAAGGCACTCAAATCAGACCAACTCTATACCTTCTTCTTTGTTTGCAAAGCCCACTGCAACATCTTGGCAAGTTGACTTATAGAAGCAAGGACCTTGGCAGATGATTTTTGCACATTCAGGGAGTACAACTCAACTATGGAATCCCTAAGGAACTGTAAGCGTTTAGCGTCCACAATTTCTGATACTCTACTCCGAGCAAGATAGGCCACAGAAATTTTTGATAAGCAGGTGTTCCAGTGATTTGAACCAAACATTGTAGCCACATCCTTTATGATAAGGAAGGAAGCAGATGATAGAACCTCTGCACTTGTTGCCCATAAACTGACAGTAGCCTGGTTCAAAATTGCAAAAGTTTATCAGAAAGATTGACATTGAAGAATAAACTTCAAAATTGGCAAAATAAATAAGGACAGCTTGCTCAAATTTTATGTATTAAACCCAACTTTGTCAACTCAATAATATCAGAAAGTTCATTATACAGCAGGAGAATGTAAGCTACTCAATACGTTGACACTATCCTATCACAGTCAACATGAATTTTTTACAATTTCAAGAATATTTAAATCATAATCCAATTAGAGAACCAAGAAGCAGAAGGTAATTGTTGAAAACAAGGCAATGTTTAATTACAAAATAAGCTCTCAATGTCAGCCTGATGTAGTACATCACAACTACAATCAATAATTTCCTACTAAAATTATGTTTTATCTTTTCTAGGAGTTTATCTTTTCAATCATATTTATCTTTTTAGTTTTCTTGTATAGTTGTGATAGGACTTTATCTTTTATTTAATTAGGATTATAGTTTCAATTTCCTAATACTATTAGAAGTAGGGAGTAATCTTGCCTAATAAATATAGAGGAATTATACACTTTTCATATATCAATCGTTACTCAATTAATACAAAGCAAGTTATTCCAATATATTTCATATTTCAATTTTTATTACAATAATTTCATAATGCTTCTGCACCAAAATTGGTATCAAAGCACAAAATTGCCTTATTCTGAT